CAGCAGGAGAATGGGTACATAGCATGCCGATTTTGTGTACTGACTTCACCTCTGCACCCTTGCTTTCCCCATCCCTTCCTGAAAGCTGGGACAAGAGCTGGGAAGGGCACCTATTTCGCTTAAACGTCAGCTAGTCCATTTGCTGGTCTGCAGAGCCTGAGGACAGATGCAGTCAGCCTGCTAATAGGAGTTTAACTTCTGGAAGGCTTTGACCCTAGACATCTACTAACACCTGAAATCCAACTGCTAGCCGAGGGCCATATGGAAGTGATCAAGTGGGTATCACTCCTTTGAGAAAGGTAGGATGGGGCGGAGACCAAGCACGGCTCTGAGTGATGTTGGACGAGTACTTAAACCTTCTCAGGCTTTAGTTTCCTTATCTGCAAAATGCAAATAATAATTGTAACACATTTAAAGATTTTGTACTCATGTCACAGACATAGTGTGCACAGTGCATTATTACTGATAGTAGAAAGCCATCTGTCAGGGGTTTTCTCATGTCCAAGTTCTTAAAACAAAGAGCAGTTTATCACAGTCCACTTCACGGGAGCTCATTGCTGCTCATTTAGGCACAGAAGACCTAGGAGATGCAGCCTCCACAGCTCAGGGGAAGGTTTGAGATGTGATGAGCTGACCATCTATGTAGGCTGTGGAAAGATGGGTTAGTGCAAACCCAGGCTGCTCCATGAAAATTTTGGCATTCCCCACTTTGATCTTTATAATCTAGTTACGACTGAGAAAAAAAACAGATTTATTTATGAGGAAAGCTCTTATTAGTTCTGTTACCTCTTGAAAATGTTCAGGATATGAATTTGGCAAAACAAGCCTCCACACACCATTTTCCAAAAGCAATTATTAAGTAATTGTATCTTCTCACATTTCTTCAATAACAAAAACACTGTGTTCTAACATAGCATTAGATGCTTGACTCATTTTGTAAATTTCTGATTAATCATGTATAATTGAAAATTTGTCATGAAATGAAGATTTTTTAAAGAGAATAATAGACACTTCTGTTACTGGCTTTTTAGAATGCTGTACTATATTCTTTGTGTGGCAGGTGCCACTGTTGACATTTATTCCTAAGGAAACAGCCGCTGTCCTACTTTGGTCCTTGTGGCTGCCAGGAGTTTTGGAATCTTCAGTTGCAGATCCAAGTATGGGTTCTTCTGATGGTGAAAGAACTGAACACTGCATGTTCAGAGGGTCTACTCATATCAGAAGAGGAGCCTTTTTATACAGAGGATTTAAATTTTTCTGTTTGCGTAAAATTTTTTATTTGAGATCTGTAACAATTAGGATTAGTTTTTAAAGTGTGAAAGAAAAAAAAGGAAACACCCCCCCCACACACACACAAGTGGTATTCAACAGGATAGAATCTTACATCTCTTCTATAAAAGACTTTGGAGGTGGGGAGCAGAGGCATGGTGGAGCCACGGCATCAGGGGGCCATTTTTGCCATTCTTGCTGCCTCCTTCAGGTTCAAGATGGTTCTCTGAGCATAGCCATCAGCTCCCATTTCTGCATTCTAGTCAGCAAGTAGGAGGACTCAGGGAAGATAAACTTCCCTTTTAGGGACACTTTTCTGAAAGTATATCTCATTAGCCAGAACTTAGTCTCATGGCTACAGTTAGCTGCAATGGAGGCTGAGAAATATAGTCTATATACTAGCCATGTACCGGCAAAAACTGGAGATTCTATTACTAAGAAAAAGAAAGAATAGATACTGGGGAATAAGCAGCAGACTCTGTCAGGAGACCCTAAATGTTGTAACAGGCGAAATGTGGAGATTATGTTCTTTCACACCTGCTATGTGCCTGGTGAAGCACATTCTGTGAAGCACTTTACATTGTCAACTCACTTAACCTGAGGAAATTGAAATTCTGGGGGGTTCAGTTTTCCAGTCACACAGCTGGGATTTGAACCCTGTTCTGGAGGGGCAGCCTGTGTAATAGATCGTGAGCTTCGAATTCAAGGAGACAGACCTGGGTTGAAACTGGAGTGTGTCATTTATCAACTGCATGACCTTTGCCAAGTTATGTAACATCTCTAGGCTTCACTATTCTCTTTTGTATAGTGGTAACAATAAGACTTTCCTCATAAAGCTATTGTGAGAATTAAATGACCATGAATACTCATACTCGTAAAGTATTTACCCAATGCCCAGACAGTAGTAGTAATAATAATAATACATAGTATTTATTGTGTGTTTATCATAATTGATACTCCATAAATGGCAGAGCCTTTCCAATATGACTAAATTTTCTGCTTTCCCTGTAGAAGCTGAAACAATGGTTTATTGTTTATTTGAAGCAATCCATGTGGGATTCTTTACAGTCTCTTAGCCCCAAAGGCCATCTCTAGGGATCTGGAGACATTTTGAAGCTTCTATATTCTTTATTAATGCAGAATCAGAAATATACTTTTTAATGAGCTGAGCCTTTAGATAGCCTATATTGTAAATTAAAACTGGTAGCCAAATTGCCTAAAAATTTTATGTGTTATTTCAAAAGATATTAAAAAGATATTTAAAAAGTCTTTTTAATATCTACTACTGGGCAAATATTACTTATCTAATTTTTTAGTTTCAAAAGTTTTTAGAAGTTCAATGAAATGTATCCAATTAAACTAATTCAGTAGTTATCTCTTTATTCTCCTTTTCTTTCAGAAATGTGATGTTCTGTGGGAAGACTTCCATCAAAAACTAGTAGATGGGTCCTTGCTGACACTGGATACTTATCTGGGCCAATTTCCTGACATAAAGGTATTTTACTCTGTGTCAATAAAGGGAAGGATTGAATGATCCCATAAATTTATTGAAACATGGGAAATCAAAAGTCAAATAGACTTGATAAATTTTCATTTATTTAAGTATGGGATTATTATCCTGTTCTTCGCAGTTTTAAATGAAATGTAGTTACAGAAATCACATTTTCCCCTTTAGTGAACTGCTTCAGCTTTTATTTTTCTACAGAAGTCTTTTTAATCCTATAGATGTAAAATCTGAAATCAGATATCAAAAAATTCCAATCTTCTTTATATTCAAACCTTTTTATTATATATAGCATTTGATAAGAATTTCCATTAGAATAAGCAGTGATCAAAAGCAAAGGAGTGACTTCATTGCCCTTGTGAGAGCAAAATCTGATCTTTCCTTGTGTACTGTTTATTTGCTTATGTTCATAGCACACCTATATATTTTTTCTCTTCTTAAAATTTTCAGGTTTAAAGTGAAGTACAATTAATCCTTGAACAATGTGGGGATTAAGTGTGCTGACCCCCATGCAGTTGAAAATCCATGTATAACTTTTGACTCTCAAAGACTTAACTACAGTTGTCCCTTGATACTTATGGGGGATTGGTTCCAAGACCCCTATGCTTACCAAAACCTGTGGATGCTCAAGTCCCTTATATAAAATGGCACAGAACAATTCATATAGTCGACCCTCTGCGTCCGCAGATTCCCAGCAGCAGATCAAAAATACTGGGTTTTGTCCGTAGTTGGTTGAATCTGCAAATGCGAAACCGGAGGATATGAATAGCCAATTGTATATTTATTGAAAAATATTTGTGTATAAGTAGGCCTGTGCAGTTTAAACCCATGTTGTCGAAGTGTCAGCTATATTAAGATATAGCATTTCAAATTATGTTTCATCTGGATCTCAACAAATCTTTTCTAAAACATTTGTTCTGTGTGACATTTGGATCCATTGAAAAGAAAATATACACGTGAAGGTTTGAATAGCGCAGATTTGGAATTGACTGTAGAGGTAAAGATGATTATTAAACCATCTGGGCTGTATATAACAAATGTTGCATTAATAGAGCTGCTCCACTATCCCCATTGTTTTCCCCACTCAAGGTGGAGTACCAGGGAAGATAGCCACATACTGTCCTTTCTGTAGGGTGAGAAGGCCATTAACCAGCATCTATGGGCATCTGTAGCATCTTATAGGTGACTTCTGATGTGAAGTTCCACTCTTACCTGGCCATTGCCAAACACTAGAGAACTATCTGTAGTAATGTGCACTGGCCTTGGCCATGAAACATAGTGAAGCTTCTTGGCCAAAACAATACTCATATCAATAATTTAGTTTCCTCAAGCCCACATAGAATGCCTAACACTGTAGGCCAACATCCAAAATGTGTTTTGGGACACCAGGGGCACCAGACAGGAATCATCAGTAGACCAGACTAAATACATTAGTTTTGTTGACAAAATGGCACAGAGAACAAATCCAAATGATGGATTCTCCATGCTGTTATCATAATAGGCAGCATAAGGCTTCATTGAGCTATTCCATAAAGTAAATACATCCTAATTAAAAGATATGTCAGTTTTTTAAATTTTCTGGGAAATTAAAAACTTGAAAAAAATTTTAAATTCTTTAATATTGCATGTACTAGCCTATAGGAGATATGTTTTGGGTTATCTTCAAATTATTAGATAGACATTCCAATTTTATCTTGGAATTTATAGCATTTGTGGAGCAAACAGTCTCAGAATCATTATAACACTTCAGAATATCATTTACTGAATGACAATTTAATCTTCATAAAGATCAATTCTCAATAAATCAGAAGTGACTAAGGGAAAATTTTCTTACTTGAAAATTTCAAAGTAGCTTACAACTTATTTAAATTATTTATGTAATATATATTCATAGTATAACTTAGCTAAACCAATGAAAGTGGTGATTGACTAAAGAACAAAACATTTGAAAAGTTGTTGAGCTTCAGAAACAAAAACAGTATCATCAAAAAAAATGTGAAGGACCTTAGTTATTATGGTATTGCCTAGCAATAGTTATTTGGAGGTTGGCCATATTCTCTAGGAGCATATAATTTCAGAAGGCAAATACACAGAGAAGTACCTGCATTGAAACATGGAGAGATTAAAATAAAATCATAATGGATCATTTCAGCTAGTATTTTCTATTTGTTCCATGCCAGAAAAATGAGGAACTCAGTAGAACTTTTACTTAAGCTGTCCTTTTTTGGGGTTCCATGAGTTAGGTCATACACAAAGATGATCTTCCAGTTACTGAACCATCTTTACACTAGAGATTTGGGAATATCTAGCTTGGTGCCCTAAATATAAATGAAATACATGTCATGGTTTTACCTACATCACAGAAAGAGGCTGAAACAATTTCTCTCTTTCTCCGAAGTCACATTTAGAATGTCATAGCATATACATATGATTTTAACCAAGATAGAGAATGGTTCTTTTTGGGAGGAGGGGTGTTATGTGTCAATTTATTTGTTTATTTATTTAAAAATTATTGAAGTGATATTGATTAATAAAATCAATAAGTTTTAAGTGAACATTTAAACAGTATGTCATTATATATGTGTGTATATATTCATACACATACACATATGACGTTCCTTAACGAAATCCAGTATGTTTCAGCTATACATTTTAACAGTAAGGCGTATATATATTTACATTTCAGGTGTGTTCACCTCCCATAGTTAGATTTCTTTCTGTCACCAAATATTTGACCCCTTTTACTCCTATGTACCTCCCCTCCCTCACTTCCCTCTGGTAACTACTAATTCACTGTCTGTGTCCATGAGTCTCTGTCATATTTGTTTGTTGCTTTCAGTTTTATATCCCACATATGAGTGAATTGTGAAACTGTTACATTTGATGAACAGTTGAGGAAATAGTAGTTTAACTTGGAAATGAAACAATTTGAGATTAGGGGAGAATAGCTATTTCTAATATTTGAAAGACTTTTTATGTGAAAATATGCTTAAGCAATTCTGTGTTCCTTTATTCAGTGGATAGAAGTTAGAGTGGGTATAGATTCAATTACTACATAAACTTAGAGTTGAGTGATTATATAATGAATGGGTTATTGATGGAAAGGAGGATTATGATTAAGAAGTTTCAAAGCATGGAACACAATTGACTTCCTTCACTCCCGTTAAAATCAGCAAGCCATGTGTAGTTAAAACTTCAGGCAAGTTTCCAAATATTTACTGCAGCCCATCAGTGAGAGCTATGGAGTACCATTCATGAGGGGGTGATGTTTGACTTTTCCAACTGTGATTGGCAGGGCACCCGGGTGTTATGGTTCTTGTACAACACTGGTTCTTATACAGCACTGACATCTGAAATCAATGTTGTAATAAGAGCCAGCTTGTCACTAACTCAGGCTTACAGCTGTGAGCAGTTATTGTAAAATGTAGTTTAGATTCTATCTTGAGGCTATGCATGAGCAACTAAGCATATATTTACAGCAGTGTGCCAAAATGAATCCTAAATTGGGGCTATTATAAAAAATTTTTAAAAATACAATAAGTTATTTTCTTTACTGCATAAGGTCAGTGCACAATGGGGAATTTGAGGAAATTTTAATTAAACAACTTGGTTAAATTATTCACCATTAAACTAGTAAGTTTATTTAATTAAATTTACTCAGTTAGATGGTGAAATAAGAATTGTATCTTTTTATACATATATATAAAAGCTAAAGTGTATTAACTTTACTCTACTTAGGAGATTTGGTTCTTTTCTTCAAGTTTCCCAGATATCAGGTAGGTAAGAAAATAAGATTGATTTGTTTTTCCAATGCAAAAATTCCTGCATCAAAATGAATGATGGCCTTCCAAATAGTTGCTTCTACATGGAAAGCTGTACTCTGTAATTGACTTGTCAATTATACAAGAAAGTGAGTCACATTATTTACTTCTTGTTTTTAAACAAAAAATGAGATGACCCAGTGCACTCTTCCAGCTTATTCACAGACTTGGAAGTAACTGAATTTTGGCTGTTTTCAAAAATCAAATCCATCTTCAAAGAATCAAGATTTCCTTCTTGGAAGATATTAAAGGAGAGCCACCCCCACCTGGACCCCCACAAGTCCATAAAGCAGAGCTTCATAAGAGTTTGCGTATAGTTATGTAGGAATAATGTTCCTTTGGGAGTAACAGCTATACATTTGCTAAAATAATTAGTTTTGTCAGCTCGTAGGCATACTGTCTCCACCATACGTTACTCAAGGGCTTCTCTCTACCCTGCCTGGGCTGATTCATGCTTCTTGATCTTCATGCTTTCTAGTACTCATTTATTTTTATAGTTCCACTTAATATTAAAATCCTATGCTGTCAATGAATTTGCTCAGCTTTTGTTTTCTGAAAAAAAAAAAAAAAAGCTTTATTTCACCTTCACTCTTGGAAGATATTTTCACTGGGGATAGAATTCTGAGTTTGTAGGTTCCTTTTTATGTTTTATTTTTCAGTACTTTAAAGATACTTCTTGATTGTATTATGGCTTGCATATTTTCTGAAGATTAGCGTTCTGTAATTCTTACTTTTGTGCATTATGTTTTTCTTTATTCTTGATTTTCAGCAGTTTGACTTTAATGTATTTAGATATGTGTTTGGTATTTATCCTTCTTGGGTTTCTTGGATCTTTACTTTGATGTCTTCATTATTGTATAAATTTTTCAATCATTATCTCTTCAAATATTCTGACTCTTCTATTTTTGAGACTCCAATTACACTATCTTGACCATTCGATATTGTATTACCTAATTCTGTTTTTTTTTAACTCTTTTTTTCCTCTTTATATTTTAATGGGAATCATTTCTCTTGATCTACTAAAAAGTGCACTGTTTCTTTCCTTAGCTGTCAAAGAAATTTTTTCCCTCTCATATCACATTTCATTTTTATTTCTAGAATTTCCATTTGATTTTCAGTTGACTATTAAAGTTTCCATATCTCTGCTGAAATATCCCATCTATTTATATATATTGTCTGCCATTTCCAACCGGATACTTTAACATATTAGTCATAGTTATTTTAAAATTCCTATTTGATACTTCTAACATCTGGGTCATATCTGAGTCTGATTCTCTTGATTTCTTTATCTTCTCTCATGGGTCATTATTCATTTTTCTGGCTTTGTGTTAGGCAGAGTTTACCTCATATCTGGGGTTGGTCTTCAACAGGAGTTTTCTGCCCCTGCCCTAGTGGGAACCCACCTCTCCTTGTTATAGGAATCATATCTTGGACCCAGGAAGGTTATATGTCACTCCTCAGTGGGTAGCATTCTGCCCTTCTATGTAGCAGTTATCTCTTCATATATCCTAGGGGCCAGAGGGGCTCCTTTCCCTCCCCAGAGCCAGACTGGTTTTGCTTCTACTCCTCCCCCAGCAACAGTGGATCTTTTCTTGGTCTCCGTTGGCAGGAGGATTTGGCGCCTCGAGCAGCTTAAAGCTCTTGCTTGGTAAGAGAAAAGGTCCATGGAGTTGGGCAGGACTTTGTGCCCATCCCCAGCAGTCAGATCACCTCATTCTCACTGGTGCCGCAAGGAAATGTCTTGTCCTCAAGCTTTCTAATATCATCCAGTGGAGGTCCAAGGAAAGAGCTTGCTCATAAATGCAGTTTTGTGTCTTGGACTCCCAGCTATTCCAAACTACATGTTAGCCTACACTAGGCATTTAACAATTTGTTAAAATTTAGCTGACTTTTTTTTACCCACTTATATAGGGGCCACAATTTTTACCTGTTCACTGCCAAAAGTGAAATGGTTTGTGTGTCTCTTCTCTCATTGAAACAACTTGTCCCTGTTTAGAATTCAGATTACTTTATTGCCTTGTGACCTCGGATCTCTGATACAATCAAGAATTATGTTTTTATAGATTATTCAGCTTTTTTCTGTTAGTGTGGGGGTAACATTCTTTTCAGCTCTCTATGTCCTAACTGAAAGTAGTAGTCTCTAGAAATAAATATATTTTTAGTTTCTCAGACGGTTCTAATGAACAAAAGGATTGAGGATCACTTCTAGGAAAGGGGATTTTTATTCCTAAGAATTTGCTTTATAAATATAGAACTGTTTCATAAATCTACATTATAGAACTGTGGTTAGTGCGAGTGTTATTAGAATTACAAAGCCTATCCTAATATAGTCTTCTAGCTTGAAAATGGAAAATTTGAAGATTTAGAACTGAGCCTAATAGAGGGTATAGGTTTATCTGCTTTCCTCAGCCAGTTCTGGAGTGTTTCTGGTCTTTGACTACAAATTCTGCTTTTTACTCTTCATGACTGATCTAATTATTATCAGAAGGGAAGCTGTTTATCTGAGGATTTTTACACAAAGGATCGAAGGCTGTAGTCTGATTTCCAAGGATCATTTGTTCACTGAAATTCCAGTTCACCTTGATCTCCAGTCAAGATCCTCAGCTACTCTGGATAAGAGAAGCATTCTAACAGTCAAAGAAAATCTGCGACCATGACTCTTTCTTAATGCATGTGTTTGCCATTGGCAGAACCGCATTGCAAAGCGCAGTAGGAAGCTGGTTGACTATGACAGTGCTCGCCACCATCTGGAAGCTTTACAGAGCTCCAAGAGGAAGGATGAGAGTCGAATATCTAAGGTAGGGTTTGATCCAACTGTTGACACCACTCCATATTCTGTGACCTATATTAACTTTGCTTTTAAAAATTAAATGTTTCCTTTTCAAAGGAGATTGGAATCAGGATAGAATTTAAACTGAAACATGTTGCTTGTGGACTGCTTTCCAAAATTTGTAATTAAAATAAGGTTTTTCATATTATTATAGCATTCACATGGGTGACACTGACTCATACATTTTTATCAGAATAAACTTTGGCCCCCAACAACACTGTATGATCAAAGAAAGTAATACGTGTTTCTGTACTTCTTTCTATGGTTGTGGTCCATACTTGATGCTAAAATGCAGATTCAGATAGTGAATCAAGTTTGAAAATTTTAGGCATAACTTGTGATTGAGAGTACAGACATGTGCTAGACTTGCATAACATTCATTTTGTTTTAGAAAACCCATTTCAATGGCTTTTACTGTATAAGTCAGTCATTTACAGATGTCAATTAATTGATGACATCTGCTGACTATTCCATTTGCTTCCAGTCTTGCTTCCTCCTATTTGCCTACACATAGCTGCCTGAACGACCTTTCTACATCACATATCTAGATATGTTTCTCCACTGCTTAAGTCTTTTAATGGCTCCCATTGCCTGTAGAAAAAATTTAACTTCCTTACCACGGCATATACAACCTTCTCATTTTGGTTATGACTCACCTATCCATCCTTATCAACATTCAGTGTCTTCTTTCCTCTCCTCTCCTTCTTCCATACACATATACTAAGCTGGTGCCTCCATGACCTACACATCACTTCTGAGCAGCTGCAATAATAGCTGTTCTTCTTGATGTGAGACCTCATAGATGTCAGACACCATGTTCAACACTCATCTATATCACCTTTCCTTAATACTCACAAAATCTGTCAGATGGGCACTTTATGGATAAAGTATCTGAGATAAAAAGCAATCTGACAAGTTGACAAGGTTAATAAACTAAAATTCTAACCCAAGGAACCACTACCTTTATGTATTACAATGCCTTATCCCTTCTTTAGCAAACATTTGCTAATTCTTCAAGATTCAGTTTAAATATTACCTTCTCTATGGAACCTTTCTGTTCTCTGTACCATCTCCCCCAGGAGATGCTCAAGAACAGATTAAAGGCACTATCTTGCAATTTAATTATTTAGGTTTCCCATTAGACTGAGAATTTCTTGGGGAAGCATCCATATTCAGTATCCAGAGCAGAGCAGTTATGATATAGTCAGTCAACATATTTTTGTAGAATGTTTGAATCTGCCAAAGACTGTAAGAGCAACCATTATAATCAATTCAGTTTTCTTCTTTTAATAAAACTTATTATTTCACTTTTATTGAAAAAATTATGCAGATATTAAGCAGACTAAATTTTTACCTTCCCAAAATGTTTCCAGGATGCCATAAAGCTATTCCTATTAAATGTTTTGTTATATATAGAAATGGCTTGTGTTTGTGTGATGTTTTTTAGTATAAACACATGTTATGTGTCATTTTTAGGCAGAAGAGGAATTTCAGAAAGCACAGAAAGTGTTTGAAGAGTTTAATGTTGACTTACAAGAAGAATTACCATCATTATGGTCAAGGTAAAGATGTTTATGTACAGGTTGTACATATCTCTTTTAGAAGTTCATGAACAGTGAATAATCCATATCTTGTCTTTGTTGCCAGTGATGGTTCAGCACGGTCCAGTGGAAGTGTTCTATAATCTATGTTTTCCAATAAGGTAGCTATTTGCCATATGTGGCTGGCTGTTGAACATGTGGAATATAGCTGAATTTTAAATTTAAGATATTTTGTTTTAATTCATTTAAATTTAAATAAACTTATGTAGCTAACAGCTACTATATGGGATGACACAGTTTTAGACCTTGATATAGTTATCAAGTGGAGACCCAAATCTCAATTAGAGGAATTAGGAGAACTTCTCACAACCTTGAACTTTACAAGGATACCCTTTTAGTTCTTGACAGAATTTCCTTTATTCCAAGATGTTATCTAGACTTCTGGCTTTGATACTAAGCCACTACTTTCAGCCCTGAACTACCTATTCACCTGAACTTCATTCTTATTTTAGATACTAATTATTCTTATTTATAGGTACTTTTCATTTCTTATGGCATCAAGTGCTTCTTATTTATAGATATTCTACATTTCTCATGTAGTTAAATGCAGTTTTCCTACTCAGTGGTAAAACCAAGAAGTTCTTAGGTGGAGTGGGGCATTAGGTCTCTCAATTTCCATCAGCACCTCCTATGCCACCACCCTAAATAAGCAGAATTGTGCTTGCCATGCAACATTGCTTTAAGTCAAATCCTCTGACCCAATTTACAACCAGATTGTTTTTCCTAAAACCTTCCTATATTAAAATTCTAGAGCTTCTACTTACCTTCCAAAATTATAAGCATTTTAAGGATCAAGACTGGAATTTGTCCATTTTGTGTTCAGCCTTAGTGCTGTTGATTTTTTTGTCAACAGTAGGCACTCAGAGTTTAATTTTGAATTATTGAAATATCAAGAGAATATTTTGGTTAATTCATTATAAAACTAGCCTATAGGACATGTCCAATTCACTGTCTAGCCTTAACCAAAATATGTGTGAAATTAACTCACTGCTCATCTGAATTTACCTATTCTTTCAACATCTACATTTCTCTTTTTTGGATACTATCATTCCTGGGATCAAAATTTTGGAGCCATTAACTATAGGAAACCAAAAAACCATCAAAGAAAACAATTCATTCTTTTTCTGTTTAGTCTTCTGGGTTGATTTCCCTCTCTCTATTCTCATTGCCACCACCCTGACCCTCATCATCCTCTTGTGGATTATAATGGTAGTCTCGCTCTCACATTGCTGTCTTTGAACTCATCCTGTACACCTTTTTATTCAGAAGCTCCACTGTAACATGTTGTCATTGGCTTAGGAACTTACTGTGTGTGGCCAAGGAAGACCTCACCTCTCCCCCAAAGAGGATTTTGAACAAACTGAATATATAAACTTTTAGGGATACAGATAAGACAAATATCTATAATTTTAATTTATTTAGTCATTTATACCATTTAAAATCACAAATTATATGAAATTGTGTTTTTAAAGAAATATTTTTTTACACTCACATTTTAAGAAATACTTATATCCAAATCTTTATATATATCTTTGGCATCCATGTCTTTGTACTCATTAAAGACACTCATCGGGTCAGCCAATAGTTCTCCAGAGCTTGTCTTCTCCCTCAATAGATATTCCATCTGAAACACAAGTTGTCATTTGCATAGAAGTAAGACAGTTTATTTTCATTTCTCTTTTAAGGAATTTTTTGTGATCTCAAACATAGTTACTCCATTGCTTTTTAAACTGATCTTTTAAAAGGCTCGAGCACCACAATGTTTAACATGTCCAATTATGAGACAGTACTCCTGGGAAAATTGCCAAAATTGTCAAAAGTCTGGTACATATTATTTGCCTTATATGTATTGGATATGTAACATTTTTTTTATTGCTCTATCTAAAACTAACATTGATTGATGTAGTTTCTGGTTTATGTGTCCTCCCCAAATAGTACTTGTTATTCAAAAAAAATAATTGTCAGAATATCTTGAATTTTAAAGACTTTGTAAGGACTTAAACACAATGGGAATATTTAAGGGACAAATTTTAGAGAGACATCTTTCCAAAGGTATATATCTGGTCATATACAATATAAATGCTTCAGTGCTTTTTAATCCAGTCTAACTTCTTATTACAGCACTCAAGTCTCATTCTCTTTATGTTAATCAGATTCTGTTCTTTGGTCAAAACCAAAGCTTAGGCCTTTTTTATATACAATGTGTTCCTTGACTAAACCCAGATTACTCAACCACAGTAGTGTAAACTGTGTGTGTGTGTGTGTGTGTGTGTGTGTGTGTGTTCTATGAAAGAGAGAGAAATCATTCATTGAATACTTTCTATTTGCAAGGCATCATTCTGTATACTTTACATGCATAATCTCTCATCACAATTATAGATATCCCCATTTTACACATGAGGAAGATAAGGGTTATTATCACTTAAACACCTTGCCTACGATTATAAAGTTTATAAATCCTAAAGCTGGCCTAAGGTTTAAAGTTTGTAAATCCTAAGCTGACTTAAAAACACTTCTGTGGTTTTTCCTATAAATTATGCTGTCTGTATTTAGGGCTTGTATTCAGTCTTTCATAAATAAAATTGATTTCATAAAGTTATTTCAAAAATACATATATTTTTCTCCCAGCCGTACTGCTCTACCTTTAGCCGTACTGCTCTACCTTTAAATTGAAGTTAATACTTTGTATCTTCTATGCCTCCCATGGTGATGCATAATACTGGACATATAGTTATGAGTATTTATTAACTGATTTATTCATGAAATCCTGCATGAAACTATTCATAACCATTGAAAATGTTGAAAGAAGTGTTCCGTATATATTGTTATGTCCAATTGGTGTATAGTGGTATTCAAGTATTTTCTTATTGACTTTCTGCCTAGTTGTTCTATTCATTATTGAAAGTGAGATATTGAAGTCACCAACTTTAATGGTGAATTGTCTATATTTCTTCAATTCTGTCAGCTTTTATTTCATGTATTTTGAGACTATATTGTTAGGTGTATATGTTTATAATTGGTGTATCCTCTGATGAATTCACTGTTTGATCTTTATAAAATGTCCTTTGTTTTCAATAACTAATTTTGCCTATTTTTGTCTGATATCACAATAGCCACTTAATTCTCTTTTGATTACTCTTTGCATGAGTGAACTTCTTTTACTTTCCACTTCTTTGTGTCTTTGAATCTAAAGTGTGTTTCTTATAGATAGCATATAGCTAGATTGTGGGTGTGTGTGTGTTTTATCCATTATGTCAACCTCTGCCTTTTAATTGGTGTGCTTACTTCATTAATTTAATTACCAACAAAGTAGGGAATATGTCTACCATTTTATTAATTGTTTTTAGTATGTCATATCTTTTTTGTTCCTCTGTTCTCTAATTATTATCTTGTATAGAAAACGATTTCAGAATTTTGGGTGCATAAGGGAGAAGAAAAATGAAGTACTACCTAGAGGGAGATATAGGTTCAATTTTAAAAGAAGAAATATTAGAGTATGTTTGTTCCAAAGGAGCTTAAAATTTATAACAGATGATAGAGAAGTAATCCCAAAGAAGGAAGTATTCCAAAGAGAATGTTTGAACTAAATTTTTAAAAATGATTAAAATCACAATTTAGTGAAAAGGATTTTCTAGGCTGAGGTAAAGCATGAATAAAGCCATGGAGATTGGAGCAGATGTGTGGGTTTATGGAACTTTATTTAGTTTGTTGTAGCTGGATGTCAGAGTGAAAGTGTCCAGGAGGAGAGTTGTGGTGATTAAGCAGGAGAGAGGCAATGGTCAGATTCATTTATAACTCATTCAGCAAATATTGATTAACCACCCACTACGTGCCAAGTACTCTTTTAGGTGCTCAAGATCTTGTACTAAAGGTTTTTGTTTTCTTGGAGCTTCCATTGAAGTATAGGGAAAGGCAATTACCAAGAAAAGAAATTAAGAATAAAATATTTTTAAAAGTTTAATACAGAAAATAAAACAAGATAATTTAATAGAGAATGACTTGAGATGGGATAACTAGTATAGATGGGGAAGTAAGGAAAGTGTTCTCTCAGAGAGATAGATAATATATGAGGAAAAGAAAATTTGGGGAAAATAACTGAGTTTTATTTTATATATGTTGAGATTGAAGAATCATTAGGAGGTCCAAAAGGTCTAATAAGCTAACTAGATCTGGAGTCAAAAGAGGTTTGAAAGTCATTATTATATGGGTGGTGGTTGATAACATGACAGTTGATGAGGTGTAGGTAGTGAGATAGATCACATGGCAAGATGAGAGCCAAAGACAACCTTCGGGAGCACCAGCATTTAAGGAATGTGAAGACGTACCTGCAGAGGAGCCTAAGAAGAAATAATCAGAGATGTAAAAGGAGACAGGGAAGGGACCTAGAAGAGCAGTATCTCAAAAAGCCAAGAATAGAGAGAATTTTAAAAGTGAGGAAGTGCCAGGAGTATCACTTACAATAGATCAAGTAAATGAGGCTAAAGATGCATTTTCTTTGGTGAATTTTCAGAGAAGTTCCAATCATTGGGGGGTGGGGGGTAGGGTGAAAGCCTGATTACAAGCCTTGGAGATTCGACGAAAGATGAGGAAGCAGAAATAGTGGATATCATCAGTTATTTTGAGGATCTTGGCTATTATGGGTATGAGGAATCTTAGGAGATGTAGGGGGATGACAGGGCAATAGAAGCCTTTTAAAATAACTTTGGTCATTTTGAGAAGATAGAAGTGGCAAAGGTGAGATGATTTAGGACTGAATATATATGGGGCAGGTAAAGGGTGAGGTCAGGGGGTGAGGATGTTGACAGAGCTTGCCAGAGCATGTTGAGGGGTGTACCACAGGGTTTGCTTGGTAGAGCAAGATGTTGAGCCTGAGGGGACAATAGCCTGGTAAAAAAAAAGGGGGGTCCATTATCTCAGATGAAAGAAAAAAGTTAGACTCTATAATTTAAAAAGCACTTATTGAGTCAGGTACTAGGGGAGCGATAGCAGGGGGTTACATATGAATCCCTCCAAAATAAAAATAAAATAATTTTTAAAAAAGCAAACAAATGATATTAATTCCACTCTTCTTTCTAGAAAACTAGGGTCCTTCTGACATATGGAGCAGGTGTCAACCCATCTGTACCTGCCTTCTGTTTAAATCTGACCTGTTTTTCAGGGCAGCCTAAATTTGTCCTCTCAAACAGTTGTTTGCATCTGGTACAAGGCTCATTAATTCCCTCATCTCTCAATTCCTTTAGCTGTTTCTATCAGATCTACTCATTTAAGATATTTAAGATATTTACATATATGCCCTTTTGTGATAACTTTGACATTTACATTCTGTCTTGAAATCTGCTTTTTTCTTTTAACCAGTATGCTCCAGTATGAATGGAGCATATGTTCATTAATCAGCATCCACTATGGGATAGTTAGTTCCTGGAGACATCTTAGCCCATCACTAGGCATGCACCTAGAGTTGGATAGGCCCTTTGTTTAGTAATTGAATGAAGACAGTTATGAGGAATTACTGCCCAGTTGATTGGGGTTCTAGAAAAGGGATCCTGGGTTGCCACTTAAAGAGCCCAGGAAGACTATGCAAACTATGAGTTGCGTCCCTTTGTACAGGGTTGTCAGGGAATCTGTAGTCTCTCACCTATCCAGCTGCTGCCTTAGTTAGCTTCCCAAACACAGGCCCAGACCCTCCCCTTTCCCTTGTTTCAAACATGACCAAGGTCTGTAAATAACCATTGCCTGCTTTGGTTATTTACAGACCTTGTGCTTTGTGGTCTGGAAGGTCTGCATCACCGGGCTCTCATATTCTGGGTTTCTGGTCTGACTGTCTCCAGTACTTACTATTTCCCAAAAAGATTATGCCAGGATTTTCTTTATTAATACATGTTTATGTATATGTATATTCATATACATATATTCACATTAACATGGATAGAGAGATATGTATATCTCTACATGGATGCAGAGATATGTATGTACATATACATATGTATATATGTATATGTATATAATTCTAAATCAAAATATGTTACAAAATATGTGAAATTTGGAACTCATGATCACTTGTAGATACAAAACATTAAGATTAAGTGAAACATTTGTCTTTCTCTGCCTTATTTCACTTAGCATAATGCCCTCAAGCTCCATCCATCTCATTGCAAATGGCAGGATTTCCTTTTCTTCTCATGGATGAATAAAGCATGCACACAATAATATTCTTTCTATCTATCTGTCTATGTATCTATCTCATCTTCTTTATACATTCACCCATTGATGGACACTGAGTTATATCTTGGCTATTGTGAATAATACTGCTGTGAATGTGGGAATGCAGATATCTCTTTAAGATCTGGAATTGCTGGGGTCATATGTAGTTCTATTTCTAATTTTTTGAGGAAACTCCGTACTATTTTCCATGGTGGTTGCACCAACTTACATTCCCACCAGCAATGCCCAAGTGTTCCCTTTTCTCCATACTCTCACCAACACTTGTATTTCTTATCTTTTTGATGATAGCCATTCTAACATATGTGAGGTGATACTGTGTGATATATATGTGGAATCTCAAAAAAAAAAAAGGCAAACTCATAGATACAGAAAATAGAAGAGTGATACCAGGGGCTTGGGGTGGGGCAAATAAGGAGAGATGGCAAAAAGGTACAAACTTTCAGCTATAAGATGAATAAGGCCTGAGGATGTTATGTAAAGGAGGATGACTATACTTGATAACACTGTATTATATAATTGAAATTTGCTGAGGCAGTAGAACTTGAAAGTTCTCATCCACACAAAAAGATAAATGTGAAGTGATGGATGTGTTAATTAATTAGACGGGAGAATTCTTTCACAATGTGTATGTATGTCAAGTCACCATGATGTACACCGCAAATCTCTTAGTGATTTTATTTGTTAAATATACCTCAATAAAGCTGAAAAAAAGATGAAAGAAATACAAATAAACTAGTCTTATAAAGTTAAAAAAAGATTGAATGGAATACAGTAGAAATTTAGGGCAAGGTTAAGTTATAGAAAAAGCAAATCTTATTGGTGAGATGGATTTATCACTCAACTATTCTTTTACCTCTGAATCTCTAAAATTGGACTTCTAGCTTTTATTTTGTTACAATTACAAACCACCTAGTTCATGAGAAAACACAAAAATAACACTATGCATGCTTAAGGAAAATTTCTTGGCAAATATTTCATGCTTTTCTATTGTGTTTTCCTCATTTTGGTTCCAAATACTGGTTCTCTGATTATTAATTGCATGACCTTGGACAGATAACCTCTCTGTGCCTCAGTTTTCCTGAATATAAAGTGGGAACCATTACCTTGAGGATAATTATGAAAATTAAGTGAGGGAACATATAAAAGTGCTGAGATGGCTGTTCTCTCTAGTGACTTTAACAATGATGGAACGTTTGTCCAAATCTGCTTGTTGAACTCCTACACACAACAGAGTACAGCTAAACCCCTCAAAAATCCCTTTTCTCTATTTTTTTATCTCATTGTTTAAATAAGAGGCATGCCTACTGTGTACAGGCACATTCCTGTTCCCCAGTAATAATTGTTCTTATCATAAACTCCCTGACTAGTGTTCATCCCATATATTAGGCCTATCTGATGTTTCTGGTATGTAAGTCCTTACTTGCTCTTGATTGAGATTTGGAATCTAATTAACCAATCAGGACTCTGGGGTTATTTTTGAGAATGTTATTGAAGCAGAAACATGAATTAAATCAAAGTGTAATTTACTCAGATTCAGAAAGATTGATTTAATTCAGAGCCCGAAGAGCCCTCATTTAGAGCAGAGGGAGCTCATTGAGGGTACTGGGCTGAATCCACTGGGCTGACTGGTGTGCTTACTGTGAGGGAGCTAAACAGATGAAGAGATTTTGCTCATGTCACAGAACATCCCGCACCCCATGACTTTGTTTTACAAACATGTTTGAGATATTTGCAAATGGACAGCTTGGATTTTTATTTGCTCAATGAAGGCACACTCTTATTTTATCTGAATAATTGTAATTAATTTGTAGGTCTTTTATTTTCTTCTGTTACACAAACTTGAGAATCCAAATACATGATATCAAACCAGACCATTTATATTTTATAAAAATTAAAAATAAATTATCTCAAAACCATTATAAGGTACATATCTAAAATACAAATAAATTCTTAGGCAGTGATTCCAAAAGTGTTATCTCTGAACCAGCAGCAATGGTATCATATAGAGCTGATTAAAAATGCAAATTCTGAGCCCCCATCTCAGACCTACTGAATCAGAAACGAACCTCCAGATGATTCTGAAACACACTTGAGTGTGAGAACCATTGTCTTGGGATGTTAACTACATTTTAGGAGAGGTTGTGCTTTATGCCAATAGATGTTATTTTTATCCATATTTTTGATTAGGAAGGTTGGGCAAGTCTTGGGTCAATTATCCTATTTAACTCAGTGTTACTCAAAATTATATAAATAAAACCTGCTTTTAGTATATTTCATTACCATTAATAATACAATTTTGCTGACCGTACTTCTTTCTTCCTTGTATCTCCACATGATAGGCGAGTTGGATTTTATGTCAATACTTTCAAAAATGTCTCTAGCCTTGAGGCCAAATTTCATAAGGAAATTGCAGTGGTGAGTAATGTTTATTTTTACTTGTGGAATATAGAATAAACGAACATTTATTCGGGAGGCAAATGAAATGGCATAGCCTTAGGCAAAATATTCACTCACTTGCATGTTTTTATTTAAGAGTGTATTTTTACTCTCAGTAGTATTTCTATAATTTTTTTTGTGACCACATAGTACTCTACGTCTTGCAAAAATTTTAGTTTGTGCATATACAAAAATGCTCTCATGAATCATTGGCTGGTTTTATTTCTTTTCTGAATTTATTTTTTTCATTGTCACAATCTCACAGGTTTTTTTTCTCCAGTCAATTTTTAAAGTTAGAGTTCCATGTGGTGCTTTAGGCTGAGGAAAAATTGGTCTTCATGTATTCAGATAATCAATAGTATGATCAACTCGTATTTTCTTAGTTTAGCAGAGTGGTCGTATGACTTTATTTCTAGTATAGTCAATGTAAACAATAATTTTTTGTTTTCTGCCCTGTACTGTGGTTAATAAATATATTTTAATATTGTTTTAGTTTATTTGTGTTCATGGCCTTTCAATTTTGACATGAATTTTAAATTGGACCATATACAGAATTTAAATTATTTTGAGACTGTCCATACTATTATGAGATACTTAGCATTTCAATAAACAGTTCCTTTTGGGGGGCAATAACCTAATTAGGCACCAAAATGACTTGCAGCTAATAGACAAGTGGCCTCTGTCTCATTAGCTCTGCCACAAACTGTATGAAGTGATGATGAAACTGGGTGACCAGCATGCTGACAAGGCCTTCACCATTCAAGGAGCTCCCAGGTAGGCCATGTTCATCAGAGCCAAGTTTGTGTCTATTCACCTTAACGAAATGCTTGTTGCAATTTATGAAGTGTGTACCAGCCAATACTATTTTACTCATACTATAAAAATCTAAAACAAAGGAGCCTTTCCTTGTAGAAGCTGACACCAGCCTTAGTTCTATGCTTTTATATTTACCGTTAGCCTCCAAGTTTACCCACCATGGGCTTTTGCCATTGTCAAAATTGAATTGACTATCTGCCTATCTCTTTTCCATGGGACTTGAGAGCAATGGTATAAATTTTGACATATAATTTCTTGTTGTGCACTTATTACTTTCTTTGGAGAAGAAATTAATTCCCCAAACTCACAGCAGTTAGTCCTGATAATTATTGATGGTGATGACATCTTTAATGAATCCATTTTAGGAAAGGAAAGACAAAGTATGTAAGACCTCACTGTCATCTTACCTCCTAACTCCATCTTGCAGATATTGCATTGTTTTGCTTTTATTGCACATGGTTTATTTTGAGTATGTCAGTCAAATGCACCAAAGGCCCAGTGATCCATAGGAGAATTGTCTCTGTCTCCACAGTTCGGCTTCACACCAGCTTTCTTCTGTGATTTTGAAACCCCTTTTATTCTATCCTTCTCAGACATAATATACTCAGGAAATGCAGGCAAATGAGCCTTAGCCTGGAAGTTGAAAAGACCCAGTTTTCAGTTTTATGACTCTAGTTAACATGCTTTGCCTTTCTTGAGTAAGTCCAATAACTTCTCTAGTTAAAGATCTCATTTTTTTAATCAATAAGAAAACAGATGCTATTGAACTAAACGGCTTTATGGTAGTATGTAGTCGTGACAGTCTATATTTGCAATTTTAACATCAATGTATATACTTATACACACATATTTATACAAACACACATACTCTTACACATGTACCACCATTTGCATGTGTCAGTGTTTGGATCTCACTGGAGATAGCTAATATTGTTATTCTTTGCTCTTTGGATTAGCTGTACTGAGCGTGAAGTGTATCTTCTCTTTCTCAGGGAAAGAACGTTGCCTAAAAGAATATATGAAAGGAGTGCTGTTTCCAATACAACTAGAAACAAAGGAAGAATTGTAATATCAAAATAACATTTGGATGTTTTAGAAATGAAATGCATCAAAAATTAAGGGTTGCTCCCTTATAAAGAGATGAAAGGGACAAATGAATCTGAAAATTTCAAAGTTGCTAAATCAGATACAGTGAAGAGAATGAGGCCACTGGTCACTTAACAAATCTTCCTTTCATTTTTTTTCCAATGTTCCTCTGCAGAATGAGGTGGTGAGTGAGCTCTGCAGGATCTATCTCTATTAAGCATAGATTGGGGCTATGCTTCTGACAGAGGCCATGATTGTTGGCACATAGCCCCAATCATGTGGTGTGTTCTGTTTTCTCTACAGGACCCATTACTTTGTAGACCATGCTGCTTTGTACATGTTCATTTATTTTGGGGTGCTGATCCTGTTTTCTCAATCTATACACTTGAAATTCTTAGCGAGCAGGGTATGTCCCAAGAGTCTTCTTAATCATTGCATTTGGACTGTTCACAGGCATCTGGGCTGGTGCCAGGGATGTGGTAGATTCTTGGTAAATATTTCTGACTCTTCCATCACATAATTTGTTAGCACATTTCAAGGTGCCCGAGATGAGTCTTTGTTCCATAAGGTATAGAAGGAGAAATAGTTAATGAATTAATTTCCACATGTTATCAGAAAGCACTCCTTAAAATCTTAATTAACACTATCCTACAGATGCCTTATAACATAAAATTTATAATTTGCAGAGTAAGTTTTTCTCTAGTTTATGACAGCATGATTCTCTTGTAAATCAAAAGTGAAATTATTTTAATTCAGTTTATGTTTGGATGATTCTTGCAGAGCCTGTTTGGCACAGTGGAAAGAACAGGAGGTTGCATTACTATGGGCTAAATTCAGATCCACTAAATTGCCAAGTCACTTTAGAGATTTTTAACCCCTCTGCAATCATATTGTGATGATTAGGGATAATATATAAACAGGGCCTGGCACATGTAGTAGTCAAGAAACATGTAGTTACTACAACACTGTTAATACTATGCAGAATTAACCTGGAAGGGGGAATAGATAACAAACAGTACCTGTTTTATCAGGATGTCTCTGGGATGGGGGCCTCTGATAAATAAGTACTACTCCTTAGAAGTTCCTTTGCTTAAATCTTGTGTGTTCATCTAGTGATTCGGGTCCTCTCCGCATCGTGAAGACACCATCGCCACCCGAGGAGCCTTCCCCCATCCCGAGCCCGACAGCTAGTCCCAATCATATACTAGTGCCTGGGTCTCCGGCACCAGCACGGCCTCGGTCACCTTCACAGGTAGGAAGAGATCAAATACATTCGAGTGACCAGCGAGATGACCTCATCTGGGAAAGCCCCACAAATGCTGAGGCATTGAGAAGAGTTTCTGGTGGGAGACTTTGAGGCGGGAGGCTTTAGGCATTATGATTGTCACTAAAGAATCGACTCATTTTTCTTATATGGATTTTTTAATTTTCTCACACACCCTATGCTTTAGTGTGTAGAGACTGTTCCACAATTTTAGCTTCCTCAGTCTTGTATGCTGTCCTCTCCCATCTCTTGTTCTCAGAATCCTTTCCTTCAAGGCTCTGTTTAGTCCTACCTACTCCATGAAACCTCCCTCCTGTAGCTCTTTAGGCGAGTACGACCAAGAAAAGCTGTTATGTGTATATGACATTTCACATTTTTTTTTATAACCCACCATATTTTGCATATGAATATACACTCAATAAGAGTATAGGAAACAAATGATTGAAAAAAACAGTAAGGGCCAGAGAAAGGTAAATATAGAGAAAAATTGCTACCCTTATCTCCCCTACTTTGAGTGAAAATGAAATTTCTATAAGAAAATTTGGAAGTCCAGTTCAGCTTGAGCTTTCATGTGTGTGGTTGAAACTAAGGGAAGTCACAGGAAGACATATGTAACAGACAGAACTCTATAAAGTTTTTACTTTAGAAAATACTGAAGAGGAAAATGAAATGTATGCTGCTTACATGTGGTCTAGTTGATTCCAATGAAAAGCTTGCTTGATTTTAATTTTAAAATTCTAATTTATTGCTGAAGTGAGAAATAACTTTCAGTTTACTTCAGAGAAGGTATTGTCTCAGTTTACCTTAGAGGCATAGGCACCTGGCCTTGCAGCCCTGTGTGTAGCCCTTGTGTTAAGACGAAGGGAACCCCTGAGCCTGAATTTTTCTCATTGGACCAGTGCTTGTCAGTGCTCAGAGAGCCACCCAAGCAGAGAGCATTCTTTGCCTGAATCATGTAGGCTTATTTCTATATGCATATATGAATTTCTATCAGTGATCAGTCTGTCATCTCAGCTCTGTTCACATGACAGTTCTACATGTCTCATACATTATCTTTTGGCTGAGTTAACTACTGTTTGTTTGTGTTTAATGCTTTGTAGACAAGGAAAGGGCCTCCTGTCCCACCTCTGCCTAAAGTCACCCCAACAAAGGACCTGCAGCAGGAGAACATCATCAATTTCTTTGAGGACAACTTTGTTCCAGAAATCAGTGTGACGACACCTTCCCAGGTGAGTTCCTAGTACAGAGGGGGCATATCCGTGAAGTACCATGGCAGAGGGACTCTGAGGGGTCAGCTCTAGAGAAAGTGACAGACGTTAAAGTCAGCAATATAATTTTAGTTACCATTTGGATTTGCTTGGTATGTCTATAGCATTCTCAAATGGGAGATGTATATATTTCAAAATAGTGATGTTATTTTTGATTATTAAGAATAGTACATACTTATTGTAGAAAATTGGGAAAATATCAAAAAGTATAAAGTGAAACATTTTAATAATCACTTAAATCATACTTTGGTTTATTTTCTTTCAGTCTTTTTTCAACCAAGTATATATTGATTTTGCACCACAAAATTTAAATTTAGATTTTATTATGTATTCCTGACTTTTCTACTTAATCTCATTGAGCATGTTTTTGTGTCATAGTATTATCTTTTCAAAAAAAAAACTCTGTTTAACCAGAGCATTCTATTAGATGTATGTAGCAATCTCTAATTGTGACTACAGGTGGCGTCCAGTTATTCCACTATACCACCAGCACTTTGGTGAACATCAATGTATATGAATTCATGTCTGCATCTTCTGTTATTTCTTTCATATTGCATCCTAGTAAAGAATAGGAAAATGAATTAAAGGAGGTGAATATTTTTTTTTTTTTTCAGCAGGAGTAAATGTATCCATTTACATGATTTGGCAAATGGAAACATCATCATTCCCCCTGCTTTCAGAGATTCCTGGATGCGGGTGCTCCACCTACAGTTACCGTTAGTGGACATGTCCCTGTGAACAAGTTGGTAGTCCACTTTCTTCAAGAATGGTCTTGACTTTCAGAGCTGCTCTAATGCCATCAAAGCCACTCTTTGTTTTAAGAGTGTAAGTCCCCAGAGAAGCCATGCCAATATCATTTTGTCTCAGTGTCCCCAGGGTCAGAAATAATATTTACATTTTCCAAGAGGTACGAACACAGTACTGTAATTACTGAGCACATAGCACATCAATATACCATCCCAATTACAGTCCCATTCTATTGATAATAACAGAAGTAATGTACTGATATCAGGGGGCTCAGAAAATGAAAACTCAGAAATAATGCAGTGGCAAATCATAATTTGTCATTCCTTTCAAGTCCATTTATCAATAGATACCATGCTTTTAGTTAATCATTTTCCTTCTGTTGTTTATATGAGATGCTGAATTTGGTAAGCTAACGAGAGCTTGAAATGTGATTAGCAGCTTCTTTGAGGAGGGAGAATTGCATGTTTATCAGTGCATGGACATATTATGCCTGTGGATACACAGACACCGCCAAGAATAGCTGTCTTGAACCAAACGATCTTACACAGCATTCAGTGTTGCCCTGGCACCAAACTTGAGCAGTTTTCGTTTCTAGGTTGTGCTGCCCTTTGTATTGGCTAATAGCTCAGCTTCATTCTCTTTTTTGCTACATCAGTTTTCAGTTGAGAGTGTTTTAGGGCGATAATACCTTTACTTTCAAGCTGCTTTCTCCGGGACCCTCCAAGAACATCCAATTCTGTCACAAATAGAACATGTGGTCATCTGGAAACCATGTGTGCTTAGCTGTCTCCAGTTAGCAGTTGAGGCAACTGAAGTAGAGAAAACATGACCTGTAGACTACTTGTGAAGTAAAGATGGAGTTCAAGAGTGTTCTTTCTTTTTTAAAACAGTTTTCATTTGCAGTTTGCTGGCTCATAGATAAGGATCCTTCACGGTGGGGAAAAAAAAAGAGTCAAAACACTTTTTAAAATCATAAATGCCAGAAGAGGCCCATTAGGGCTTCTAAGAGCATTAACTTTGCTGGTATTGCTGAGTGAGCATGATTGGAAAAGTCAAGAGTTGGGGACAAGGGAGAGGAAGTACCTTTCAAAACAGAGCCTTCTCTAGTTGCTGCTGCTGCAAGGACACAATTAGGTGGTAGAGCCTCTTGCCCCAACTTAGCTAGTCTTTATGTACAGCTCCAAGGCTGTTGAGAGGGAAGGAAAAGCACCTTTTATAACTTACTGGCTGTATGTCACATCCGTGAGCCTACTAGGCAATTTTGTAAGAACTACCCACCAGAGACATTATGGGAGTACATTTAGGGGTTCAGCTTCATTTATATAGTTTTCTTTTAATCCGGGGAAGAGGCAGAAAGGGGTTCTTTTTTTTTATCATTTTTTCCAAATCTGAGAAGCAACATTCCTCTAGCACCAGGGTCCCCAGCCCCCGGGCCCCAGACCGAAATAGGTCCGTGGCCTGTTAGGAACTGGGACACACAGAACAAGGTTAGCAGCAGACCAGCAAGCAAAGCTTCATCTGTATTTGTGGCCACTCCCCAGCGCTAGCATCACCACCTCATCTCCATCTCAGGTCATCAGGCATAATACTCATAGGAGCACCAGTCCCTGGTGCCAAAAATGTTGGACCACAGAGCATGACTCGAAGCATTTCCATTGACTCAATGACTGTTGGCTTCATGTCATGATGTCAAGAGACGGAGTGAAGCAGGATTTATATTTCAGTCTACTTTTTAGCTTATCAAGTGATACAATCTAGCTTTATTGTAAATTTTTCAGAGGCTGCCTTTTCCTGAAGCAACTTAATCCGCCCCGCCCCCCACCACTTGCCGAGTTGTGTGTTCCTCTGTAAATACAGATATAGCCATTTTGTGTTGCTTCATTCCTTTTGGGTTCCACGCAGCAATTTCTGATTCAGCAGGTCTGGGCTGGGGGCTGAGAATCTGCTTTTCTAACAAGGTCCCAGGCGATGCTAATGCTGCTGGTCTTGAGATTTCACATGAGAACCACTGTTTTAGACCATCAGGATTCCACATGGTACAAGTTTGTGGCCATGAACAAAGTACCACAGTGAATTAACAGATTTTTTTTCCAAAGAAATATCCAACTGAGTGAAGTGTATGTTATGATTAACCATTCATAATTGCTCTACTTAAAAATAATGCAACTTAAAATGTTCCATATTCAGGGTTGTTGTACTTACACACATGTGCTTATGGTAGTAGCTGTGTTAATCAGATTATATGTCAAGTTACATATTATAAGTGAATAGATTGTCTCATCTGGATAGTAATGTTTTTAGACATGCACAGAAAAATGATAAAGTAAATAAATAGAAATTCCAGGAGAAAATGAGATACCAGCCTCCAGGAAGCAGAGTATTGAAAGCTAGAAAGCTGCGATGTATTGAAAAGATTTTCTCCCAGATACATATATTATAATAATATAGAGTGGTCCCTTTGAATTTATTTAATATTTTAAAACCATTTAATCAATCGTTCTACATTTAAGAGATAGTTTATGTCCTCAGTTCGCTATTTTATCATATGCTTTATGGGGAAGAAAAACATTTGTATTAATCCTACTTTTAAACTCAAAATATAATGTTTAAAATATTTCTTATCTCTGGTGGCTTTGGGTGTCTCGTACACCAAGGCTAATCACAGAGATAATTCTCTCTTGAATGTGTCCGGGATTGGAAACAGAAATCTATCAGACCTCCAGAGCCCTCTAATGGTCTCAAACTTTAAATATATCATAGACTCTTTGGGAAATACCCTTACCTGCTTAGTTATAGAGAGATGCCAGGTATCCAGACCAAACGACTGAACTTGCTTTTCTGGTCCTATTTACAAAAATAGGACTGCCAAGGGACAAATCCATTGTATTGTTCCCTATTTTTCCCTCCCAAGAACTTAAATGGAAAGAAGTCCTTTGTGTGTGTGTGTGTGTGTGTGTGTGTTCCTGCATTTTTCATCTAGTCCCATAAGATACTGTATAAAGGGGGTCGTTGATTTTTGAGGCTAGGAGGGGTTGCATCTTCTTTTGCTTTTTCATGGTTCATGTCAGCATGTTCAAGGTTCTGAGTTCTGCAACAGAAGCCATTTGTATAATTAGAGTTTCTCAAATAGTCTCCCCTTTACCCCAAAATACCCTGCTCCTAGAAAACAGGTGTTCTGGTGAAACACTTTGAAAAGGAAGTTTTAAAAGATATTATGACTCTGGAAACCAAATTTATGGCATATAAATAAGATTTTAACAGGAAAACAAGACCAAAAAAAGGCAATCATGCATATGTAAACATACCTATACATTAAGTTTGTATATCTATACATTAAGTTTGTAAACATATCTATACAATAAGTTTGTATAAGTTTGTAAGCATGCATATGTAAACATATCTATACATTAAGTTTGTTTCTTTTTTTCTCCAAAAAATGTTTGGACTGCTTTCTATTCTGACATGATGACTTAAT